TTGCCTAAGGTCATGGGATAAGTAAAAGGCAGAGCTGGGATTTAAAGCCTGGGCTTGTATCCCGGCCTGCTGGTCAGATTGCTTGTGCCTGGGCAGGGCTGTCTCTTGGATGTTATCTATGTACATGTGGGTGCGTATACAGGTGAGCAAGTATGTATTTGTTTGGGAAGTCTAAAAAGTCAACCATTTCTGATCCCTACCGCCTAGCTTCTGAGATACAGGGAGCAGCCAGAGTCAGCTGGCAAGGCTGAAGCCCCCCACATAGATAGACTCCTCACCTTCCCCACCCCCTTGCCTCGCAATGGAGCCATGATTCTCTCCCTCCTCGGACAATGTCTCTCACCCAGACATAGGCCACAGCTGTCCCCCTCCCACTCAACAGCTGACCCACCACCTGCCTCCCTCTCTCCCTAATTAGGGGGTACGCCTCAGAGAGGATTGGGAGGCAGGACTCCTAGAATGTTCGTCTGCCTTGGCTGTCCCTCTTCAGCGTCCTCCGGTCCCCCACTGGGCCTAAGACTTGGGGCAGGAATTGAGACTTAAGGAGTCCCTTCCTCTTCAAGTCAACTGCCTGGGCCAGGGTTTCTCAGCCTCAGCTTTATTGACATTTTGGTCTGGATAATTCTTTGTGGTGGGGGACTGTCTTGTGCATTATAGGATGTTTGGCAGCACCTCTGGCTTCTACCTACTAGATGCCAGTAGCACCATCCCAGTTGTGACCATCAAAAGTTTCTCCAGACATTGCCAAACGTCCCTGCGGTGGGGGTGGGGGGTTAACTCCAATTAAGAACCACTGGCCTTGGCCATTGCACCCCCAAACATGCCAGGAAGACAGAGGAGGAAGGAGGAGAAAGAGGGACAGGGGTTTAGGAGGGGGGTTCACAGGGCTAAGGAAGGAACATAACTAGATCTAAACAAAGCAGCCCCTATAGCTTTCATGTACCTCCCAGTCCAGAGGCCCACAGGAGCCCACTCAGTGTCTGACTGGGGCAAGGGGTACAGGTCAGGGGGGAGACTCCAAAACCAAAAGTGTAAACTCACCCAACACCACTACCACACACAGCTATCGGACACAGGACCAGGCCTACTCAAGAGAGCTGCCACAGCTAGCCCAGCACCTAGCACCCATACATAGCTCAGGACTAGAGCAGCTAGATACCCAGGGCTCAACCCAGAGCCAGGGGCACACACACGCACTCACTGATTCATGAAATAATGACACAGCCCCATGCAGCCTCACCCCATCCCCTACGGCTTCCTTTAACACCAGCTACCTCCCCCAGCCATACATAGCCAGGCAGTCCCCAACCTCAGTCCTGAGGGCACAAATGCTACTGGACATCCTCTCACACACCCCCTCCCCAGGCCCTCTGCCCCCAACTCCCTCTACTGCCTACCACTCACTCAATCCCAATATAAACTGAACTGAATATCGCCTTGGAGAGTACATCCTCACCACTCCAGCGCCTTCTACCTGGAGAGTGCCTGGGACTGCCTGTGTTTTTCCCCATCACAGCCACCGTGGGCCACAGGACTCCACATACTCAGCCTTCAAAGCCCCAAGAAAGTGCCCCCAGATACAGAGCAGGAAGGAAGTGTCCCTTGCATCCACCTCAGCTCCAGGATAAAGTCAAGGCCCGCACTCTGGGGGGCGCTGGCGCCCCACTACCTCAGTTACCTGGGCCCTCTCCACACACTCGGCCATGTCCCCACGACCCCTCCCTTATACCAGCCAGGAGCCCCCGCCCCACTCACAGCACGCAAAGCGCGAAGGCCCCTGCCACGCTCTCACTGTCTCGGACCAGGAAGCTGCCATCTCGGCCCGCCCGGGCCAGCAGCTCCTCGGCAGCGGCGCGGCTCAGGTCGCGGTGGTACCAGGCGGGGGCCGGGCCACCCAGCGTGGCGCCCCCCGACGCGGCGCCCCCAGGG